CCCATTGACTTTGCTTGTCAGAAGGTCACAAGAAAGGATCATATGACCCCAAGACACTGCAATCGTCGTAAATATGTACCAGTGTCTGCATTTTGATCATGTGACCATAGGGATGCTATAGTGCTTGTAAGCATGAAAAATGGTCATAAGTCACTTTTTTCAGTGCCATTGTAACTTTGAAAGGTCATTAAATGAATTGTTGTAATTCGAGGACTACGTCTATTTTTTTAATTGTAATATATCCTAGGGTTTAACAGCAGTGGGATCCGACCAGTGTAACTACCGGTTCGGTGATTTACGATTTGCGCGCGCATGTGAATCGTCATCAGCTTGCTGCCTGGACAGCTGAGCAGCACTGCGCATGGGTGTGCAGCGGTTGAAAAAGCACTTTTTTCCCGCTTTTTCAACCTCAGCTGTGCCGCGCAAAGTAGTTGAGGTTGAAAAAGCAGGAAATAAAAGACAGGTAAGAGCCTGAGCAGGCGGGTGGGCCAAAACAGCAGCAGACATAGAACTGTTGTTCTTCAGAGCTACCGGTTCTACAGAGCCGGACAGAACAGGTAGAATTCCACTCCTGGTTTACCACATTTTGAATGACCAACAACTCAACTTAGAAACCAACACTAGTGCCATAACAACTCAGCATCTTCTGGGTCCAAAGACTGCTGGCCAAAAAAAGATTACACATCTGCTCTAGTAACAAATCGGGCATCCTTTAAAAAGCCCGATTTGTTACTAGAGCAGATGTGTAATATTTTTTTACATAAACAACACCTATAAACAACACCTATATAAACAAATACTTCATATGACTGTTAAATGTGAATCACATTTTTATAAGCTACTACTTTATATTCTTTCTACATCAGAGATTTCCAAGTTGGGTCTAAATGTTAGACTAACCACATGCAGAAATCCATTTGGTGGCGTTTATGTTCATCTATAATTTCTACCATGTGCTTCTGACATGTTAGATCTTTCGCTACCACCTTCCTCATTTGAGATCATTTAGCAAGTACATTTTCCATTTCAAACTTTTGCATTATATTCACAAAGAGACTAACTCTGAGTTACATCACTTGTCTTGCCAAATAAGTTCGCTGCATGTCTGGATATTATTTTGTACTTGCTTTTCTATGATTATGCTTCATCGGTGCTGTTTTTTTTTTCTTTTTTGCTGCTGATTGTACAAATGGGCAAATTAGTTGAGTTCAGTTCTCATTTTTCCAGTTTTAAAGTTTGTTCTGTGCCATCTCTAACACTAGTTTGTGATTTTATAAAATCAGGCAGAAAAAATGTACAATTTCATTTTTTAAATGTTCAGTTTAAAAAAATAAAATTTCCCATTTTAAAGTTGCAAATTGCAGCAAGGTGTGGATTAGGGCATATAATTGTAGTTCAATTCAAAATGCAGGCAAAAAATGGATTGGATAAACTTTGTACTGAGGTAACTTGGCTGGATTTTGCTTTTTCATTTCTAGATGTACATTCTGATTCATTCCCATAATTTCTGTTATGATAAAAGCAGATAAATGAGCTGCTAAAATCAATGCAGGGTCAGGTTATTTGTTTTAAAGTATCATCTACTGTCCCATTTTGCTACTTTTGCAGTCAATTATGAACAGTGGGACATGATGAAATCCAACAGTTCTGAAGTAACCAGAATGGGGCAACTTGCATTGGGGAAACAGGTTGCAAGCTATCCACATTTCTGATTAGGTCAACTAATTAGAATGAATTATTCACCACACTGATCATGTCTAGATCTTCCTGGCAAGGGAGAGAAAGATTGAACAAAATACTTTTACTGCTGCAACTGTTAGCCAATTCATCAGCAGTAACTCTACTTCATTCATCCCACATTACTGCACAAAGCAAAGATAAAAATGTGGAAATAGTGGCATCTTGTGGCCAGTTGCAAAACTGATGAAAGTGGCATCTTAATGGCATCTTGAAAATTAAGAACCTGATCACAGAAAAATCTATGGATTACAATTCACTTCCTTAGACTGAGAGCCATATTATCATTGTTATTAATTAATCTGTAAATCTCTAACAGGCTACAAGGTTCCTTCATTTTGTGATCTATTTATTTATTCATGGCTACTTCTGGAAATGTCTTCTATGATTTCAGTCCCCAGCTCTTCAATTGCTTTGTGAATCTATCCTATAATTCACTGCTCTCAATACATGGAGAACCTTAATAAAGTGAAGGAAAGAAGCAGGAATGGGACAAGAGGAAGCAAGCTATGAATGGTGGAAGTGTTATGAAGATAACAATAAGCTGAGATAAGAATAGACTCCCTCCCCTAGTTCCAGTCTACCAGTGGGTAACATTCCCCAATCTCTGCAGAATTACAATGCCATTTGTTTTTAAACCCTGGTTCTGCTATTATTTCAACAGATCAACTTAGCTTTTGGGCACAGAATCATGAAACTGCATGCTTTTGAACTTCCACAAAAATCCTACAAAAAAGTATTTTGACTATGTACTTGGAAGGCATGGAAGATATCTCAGAAGAACAGGAAATCATCTGGTTTATCTCTGGTTCCCTATTGTCTAAGAATGACTTTTTGTGGCTATAGATGACTATTCAAAGTCATCACTGTAAACTTATCGCATTTAACCACAGGGTAACCCGTGTCTGTGAACATTTAACCAAACTGGAGAACTGGAACGTTATACAAATTGGTAAACCTAGTTGGAAGGGTTATTAGAGAGAATCTGGGTAACCCTCCTCACTCACAGCCGATAGAGGGTTAACTCTCTTGTCCAACTACTGGAACAAAGATTATGCCTGCCATGACCTTGGAAACACAAAGTATTCCAGAAATTCTGACTCTATTGTTATGCAGTGTGGGATGCGATGGCTCAGTGGTTGAGATGCTGAGCTTGTCAATCAAAAAGGTTGGCAGTTCAAGCGGTTCGAATCCCTAGCACCACGTAATGGAGTGAGCTCCCGTTACTTGTCCCAGCTTCTGCCAACCTAGCAGTTCAAAAGCATGTAAAAATGCAAGTAGAAAAATAGGGAACACTTTGGTGGGAAGGTAACAGTGTTCCATACTCCTTCGGCATTTAGTCATGCTGGCCACATAACCACAGAGACGTCTTCGGGCAGTGCTGCCTCTTTGACTAGCACATATGTGCGAGGGGAACCTTTATCTTTATTGCTATGCAAGTGAAGACAGAAAGCTAGAAGAAACAGTTGAGTAGGAATCTCCATTGTTCTTTCCATAGTAGAGCTATTCCAATGAGCCTACCCTGAATTATTCCTCCAGTCTTTATATATTTTTTAAATAAAAAAATGTGGTAAGCTTCCCAGTCTCTTTTGTACTGAATGGATGGGAGAAAGATATTAACGATGGTTATCCTTAGAGTGAGAATCAGATATTGTATACTACTGACACATAAGTCTTTAGTTTGGGGAAGCAGCTGATTCAGTCAATTGTGTTTAATTAATGCAATCAGGGAATTTTACGATGTTCTTTTCTTCCTTATATGAAGAGGGAATAGGGGATGGCCTGGAAGGATAAGAGGAAGAGTCAAAAGCAAGGCCACAGTCTGATACAAAGCCTCAATCTGGGCTTGAGTCCAGGCCAAAAACATCACTTGAGAAAACATCTCAGATCAGTCATTCCTTAGTTCACATGAAGATGAAGGGAAGGAAAAGTGGGGAAAGAACTTTCAAACTTTCAAGATTCTATTATTATAACTCTTACAACAAAAATAGTCCTGACCTGGATGGCATTGGTTCCTTAATGTGCCCATCCTTGTAGGCCTGACACTCCCATACATAGGAAAGCAAAAACATTATTTTCATTGCAAGATGGAGGAGAAGGGAGGCTCCACATTACATGCATGCTGCTATATTTTTGGAAAATACCCATGGAGTGAGCAGCCTAACAAACATACCTGCTAGACCTCTAGAACATGTGGATGGGAACAGAAGGACCTGAGAAAAGTCTTACTCTGGATTACATCAGAGGCCATTTAAGCCACCATTCTATTCACACGGTATCTGAGCAAATTATCCATAAGAAGCCCACAAAAGGAATGTTAAGTTCAAATATAAGCTCTTGCATCCATATTTTCAGAAATGTTTAGCCATAATCACTAGCATTCTCTGATTATATTAATCTACACTGGGAAATGGAGACATTTTTCTTTATTTCCATGCCAGGAGTGTTTCTCTGATGGGGGTGGACTAACATTGGCCAATACAATTCTATACAGGTAGTCCTCTACTTACGACCACAATTGAGCCCAACATTTCTGTTGTTGTGAGATATTTGTTAAGTGGCCTTTGCCTGATTTCCTTGCCATCGTTGTTAAGTGAATCACTGCAGTTGATAAGTTAGTAACCCAGTTGTTAAGTGAATCTGGCTTCCCCATTGACTTTAATTGTGAAAAGTTTGCAAAAGCTTATCACATGACCCCGGGACACAGTAATGGTCATAAGTATGAACCATTTGTCCAGCATCTGAATTTTGATCACATGATTATGGGGATGCTACGAAGGTCGTAACTGTGAAAAACGGTCATAAGTCACTTTTTTCAGTGCTGTTGTAACTTTGAATGGTCACTAAATGAACTGTTGTAAGTTGAGGATTAACTGTAATTTGTTCTCTACTAGCAAACTACAAATAGTACTTTACTTATGACCAACACTGGACCAGAAATTTGGTTAAATTTCATTAAATGAATCTTCATGAGACTGGACCCAATTTTACAACTATTTTTACAGTAATTGTTATGTGAATCACTAAGGTTATTAATTCAACTTCCCTACTGACTTCGTTTGTCAAAAGTCAGTTGGGAAGGTTGCAAATTGTAATCATGTGATCACAAGACCCTGCAACTGTTGTAAATGTAAGTCACTTCTTCCAAGGTCATTGTAACTTCAAACCATCGCTAAATGAACAGTTGTAAAGTGGAGGACAACCTGTAGTTATATTTGGTATGGAAGCTTGAACTTTGCCCTCCCATAGCCACCATCACTCACCTCGGCAGGTACTACCTTCCCGGGTAATCGCCTGACGACATATCCCACATGGTTTTACTTTCTTGAAACTCTTCACTTTGAAAGTGTGGGATGTGGACGCTTCCAGATCCTGAGGCTGCAGGGAAGAAAGAGAAACAATATTGTCAGTTAAAAAAAAAAAACTTCACTTTTAAATCGAGAAATGGATTAAAAATTAAGCCAGAATCAGGAAGGATGTAGACAGATCTCCAGTCGATTCCAGCAGATTCCGGTTCTGTGGGCGTGGCTCGGTGGGCCTGGCAGGGGAAGGATACTGTAAAATCTCCAGTCAGAGGTAGTATTTGCCAGTTCTCCAAACTACTCAAAATGTCCACTACTGATTCCCCAGAACTGGTCAGAACCTGCCGAATACCTACCTCTAGAGTATTGGGGTTGGGGTGGAAACAAGTTTACCTCTTGAAAGTTATGTTTGTGGCCTTCCGCTCTGATTCTAAAAACGAACATGGACTATACCAGGACTTAGAAAGACTTTGTTCGTCATCTCTGTCTTGTTCAGTCACTATTTCCTATGTGGTTTCTCTTGTGGGAACAATGATTTATTTATTATATTTATAACCTGCTTTTCCTCCAAAAGGCAGAGGACTTACTTTAAGCGTACATACATACATCCACACTAAAACAATCCTGTAAGGTAGGTTGGCTGAAAGTGGAGCATTGGTCCAAAACTTATCCACAATGGATTTGTTACAGAGGTCCCATCAGTCCCAGTATAATCCTTTAATTATTACATCACACAAGGTCCCAGATTTCTGGTTTTAAAAGAAGTAGATCTGGGGATATCATTGCTAAGAGTCCATCCCATCCATTTGCTGTACTTGAATTCGTTTGCATATGACCCACAACTAATAAACAAGTTTCACACACACACCCCCAAAAAGTGGGTACCATACTTGACTTACAACACTTCCTTAAGTGACCATTCAAAGTTACCGTGTCACTGAAAAAAGTGACTTATGACTATGTTTCACACTGACGACCATTGCAGCATCCCCGTGATCATGTGATCAAAAATCAGGTGCTTGGCAACGGGTTCATAATTATGATCTTTGCTGTGTCGCAGGGTTATTTTGTAACTTTCTGACAAGCAAAGTCAATGGGGAAGCCAGATCCACTTAACAACGGTGTTACTAACTTGAACAGTTGCCGTGATCTGCTTCACAACTGTGGCAAGAAAGGTCGTAAAATGGGGCAAAGCTCACTTAACAAATGTTTCGCTTAGCAACATAAAGGTGGAGCTCAGTTGTAGTCGTAAGTCGAGGACTACCTGTACTTTGATGAGTAGATAGCCTACATTCGCACAACTAAATGTCAGACAACATCAGAATTTGAATACCTAAGGCAGGGGTGTTAAACTCAAGGCCTGGGGATGCTTAGATATGGCTCGCGGGACAACCCTGGAAACAGGGAAGGATTGGTCTGTGGTGCCTCTGCCAGTGAAAATGGAGCTTGGGGGGGCTGCATGTGGACCTTGGGAGCTCCGTTTTTGCTGGCAGTTGGTTGCAGGAGGCCATTGCAACCGAAAACGGAGCTCGGAAGGCCATTTTTGCTGACAGAGCACTTGGGCCGCCACAGGCGCCCCGACACAAGTGAAATTGGGCTGACCACACTCACCCTGGCCACACACACCCAGCCCCCCCCCCCCCCGAGGTCAAACACAACTCCGATGCGGCCCTCAATGAAATCGAGTTTGACACCCCTGCTGTAATTGTTCCTTGGTCAAATAAAAGTACTGCCCTAATACAGATACCTCTGATACAGATTTTCAAATTATATTAAGGAAGCATTTCCTTGCTACACCACTAGGTGCCAGTATTTCACACAAATGCATCAACAAAAGAATCTCTTATTGGTTCAATCTCTAATTTGCTGGTCAGGAACAATAAAGATTATCAATCTATCTATCTAACAAGTGATTCCCAGATAGCAGTATAACCAAGAAAGGAATAAGATCATTGTTACTTTTTATAGTAAGCTGTTCTTTTGTAACTCCATGCTATTTAACTTTGCTCCTACGTTTAGATCTTTTGCAGTGCAAAAATACATCAAACTTTGGGACTACATTTCTTGAAGAAACAGGGAAAGAACAGGCTGGAAAGACCAAGAAAGGGAAATTCACAAGAAATTCTCCAAGTTCAAATGTATTCATAAATGTGTATGGAAACTAAATTCCCAGCGCTGTACATCCTTATAGGGGGCGACTTTAACGCCCGATTGGGAGTCCAAGTGCCCCATCGATTGAGGCACTCTACTCCCAAGAAACCCTCCAGGCCATAGGACACCTGATTTCAGCCAGACATTCTAAGGATGAATTAACAAATTTTGCTGGCATTCAGTTAGCCCTTTTAGCAGCCCAACACTATAAGATAATTCTTAATGGGAGTACCCTAGGTGATCTAGCTGGTGAGTTTACTTTTAGTTCCTCACGTGGGAGTAGTGTTATTGATTTTGTGCTGGTATCCCAGCTCCTTAGAAAGGCAGTCCGTGCTTTTTATGTGGACTGCCTTACGGAGAGCGACCACTACCCCCTGGTTACAATCATTGGTGCTGAACAGATTGGGTTTAAAGTGGGCTGTGCCACACTGGACCACTGCTTTGTCTTAGCGCACCTGGTCGATAAATATACTACCATACCAGGTGGCAAACTTTTTACTGCTTTTATCGACCTAAAGTCAGTGTTTGACTCAGTCCCTAGGGGACTGTTGTGGTCAAAACTGCTCAAAAGTTCTATCGATAGACGTCTTCTGTTCCTAATTAGATCCTTGTACAACCAGACCTCTAGTCAGGTCAGTTGTGGTTTGCAGGGAGAACTTTCAAATCCTATCCCGATTAAGAACAGAGTAAGACAGGCTTGTGTTCTGGCTCCTCTTTTGTTTAATTTATTCTTATCTGACTTGGCCTTTCACACTGGACGTATTGAGTCCCATGCTCCAAAGCTGTCAACTACGAAGAGCTTCTCCTTTATGCTGATGATGCGGCCCTTGTTTCATTGTCAAGGCCAGGTCTGAAAAGATTACTTTCTGCATTTGGGTCTTACTGTGCTGAGAACCACTTGTCCATTAATTATGACAAATCCAAAGTATTGGTGTTCTCTAGAGCCCAGAAATTGTATAACTGGGCTATCAATGGTAATGCTGTTAAGCAGGTTTTCCATTTTAAGTATTTAGGTATTCAATTTCAGAACACCAGTGCTTGGACTAGACATTGAACCCAGGTGCTGAATTCGGCCTCCTGTAGTCACCAGCAGATTTTAAGATTTTTTTATACCCAAGGAGGCCAGTTTATTCCTTCTGCTCTGCGTATTTACAAAGCCAAAACTTTGGCTCAAACTCTTTACAGAATTCCCATATGGATACGAGGCTTCAAAGATCGTATTGAAAGAACCCAGGCTGTCTTTCTTAGAAAACTTCTGGGTCTTCCTCCTTGTGTTGGTTTTGCTCTGATGTACCTGGAACTGGGCACTCAATCAGTCGAATGTATAGCGTGGATTAACACCTTTAAATGGTGGTTTCGGGTGCTCTTTCTGGCAGTTCCTGGTAGCTACCTCTCCCTGGTGTTTGCCGACTCTCATATTTCTCATTGGGAGAGGGAACTGATGAAGAAATTACACCTGCTAGGTTTTACGGGGGATGCCCTGGGAGATTATGGCCTTAAGGACGCCCAATTTAGGGTAGTCCAATGGCTTGTGGACATTGACTTGCAATATGTACGAGCCAAAGCCAACAAAACTTGCTCCCCTCTGATCTTCAGCCAATTTAATAATTATAGACTGAGGATGGCTTCCTATTTTTACACTCCATCCATTCCCAAGTATAGAAGAGCTTTCTCCCTAGCTCGCTTTAATGTCTTGCCCTCAGCACTACTGGATGGGCGATTTAGGAGGCTCCCGATTAACGAGCGGCTATGCCCCTGTGACAGAGCTGAGGTTGAAACTGTGGAGCATGTCCTTTTATATTGCCCTACGTATAACGCAGGCAGATCTAAGTTACTGTCTCTCCTTGAAACAGACCCTTCTAGACCCAATGTTAGTAATTTGTTCTTATATTGTCTAGGGGATGGCTCCTCATACATCACTTCTCAGATTTCCAATTTTTTTAAAAAGCTGTAACCATCAGAGGAGAACGCTGTAATTCCCCTTAGTCAAGTTTTTGGTGACCAATTGTTCATGATTAATTTTCCCATGTTCTTCTTTTGTTGTACTTGTGTTTTGGTCTGTGACCGCAAATAAAGTATTACTATTATTATTATTATTATTATTATTATTATTATTATTATTATTATTA